CTCCCCATCCTCCTTCCCCGCTTCCCTTACTCTAGACATTCTCACCCTCTCTCCTCTTCCCTTCTCTCCAGCTTCTCCTCCTTTCTCCTCCCCCTTCTTCTCCTCTCCTCCTCCCTCTTCTTTCCTCTTCCCCTTCTCTTCCTCCCTCCTTCTTCCTCCTCCCCTTCTCCTCTCTCCCTCTTTTCTCCTCCTCCTCCTCGACCCCCCTCCCCCCCCACCCTCCCCTCCAGAGTCGACCCCCAAGCCCCCTCCGGCCGGCGGCAACCCCCCCTTACATAAACACTGGAAGTCGAGGATCAGGTATCGAGCGCGAGTAACCCGAGTTGGCCGAGGTTCCAGAGGCCGACTCCAAACACGACGGAGATTTTGTGCGCCATAAAGCCAAGCCTCGGGACGCGGCTCCTCCTCCTTCCTCTGTTCCGGGGAGACGCGGGGGGCTCTTCCCCGCGAGGCACGAGACACATTACGAGGAATCGGATCGAAGAAGAATGCGAGACGCGATGGTCGTTCGTACGGTAGCGGTTCGCAGGCACGGTTCATGTAGAGGTAAAACAGTGTTGAATGATTCACGCCACTGGAACTGCTATGTGGGTAAACTGCGCCATACGAATTTACTCATCAGTGTGAAATCCACTCTATAACGTATATCTGAAGTTGACTGTCAATAAATACAACCACTTGTGCGACTCACCGCAATAGAAGCTAATTCATGCACGTGTAGGCGGCAGAATACAATTCAAACCATTTGTTCAGCCAAGCACACTAAAGCCTATAAAAAGCAATGGCGAGAGTAAATAATCCTAAATGGTTAATCCGAAGCTACCATTCAGCTCTGCTCAAGCTCTCTTCGGCCGCCATGGCATTCTTTACAAAGCGGATTCCTACATCGTGATTCGCTGCAGCTAACAGTCCTTTCGCACGATTTTAAAGCGGATACTAACTGTACGAAGGATCGGATGTGGGTGTAGGTGTAGGAGTCACCGTCGACGGAGGAGGGAGGAGGGAGTGCCTCCTTCCCTCCTTCTTTCAGGCTCACCTCTGCATCCCTCCACCCCAGAGTCCGTCATCGGGTCCCCCTGCGGCGGCGCGTCCTTGACAGGCCGTCGGCAGGGGGTGTCCGGGGCCGGCCGGCTGCGCGCCTCTTGCCTGCTCTGAACATCGGCCTGCTGTTGGGCTGCCTCCTGCAGGGCGATGTCTTGGAGCGTCGTGTCCTGCAGCGTGGAGTCCTGAAGTGTGGAGTCCTGGAGTGTGTTGTCTTGAAGGGTGATATCTAAAAGGGTTGTTTCTTGGCTCGTGCTGTCGTGAAACGAAGTATCCTGGAGTTTGACCTCGTGAATGGCCGCGTCCTTGAGGGCCGAGTTATCTAGACTGGCATCTCCGACCGGCCACTGAATGGGATGGTTCTCGTATATCGGCTCCTGAATGGGAGGTTTCACGAGGGTGTCCTGGACGGGGGTACATGATGCACCCTTCTTCACGGAAGGGTTCTGGGGCGGTGATTTGTTTGCTGGTGCTCCACCCTGGTTGGAATTCAGCTTTTCCCGAGGGGATGCCTTACGATCCGAGGTCGCTGAAGGCTTCCCCTGAGGCCCTTCATTCGGCCGCGGCGTGATCTGACAAGTCCCCTGAAGAAATGCGTCTTGGTCCCGAGCTTCTTCGAGAATCTTGCTCTGAAGCGCCCCTATGAGGAGAGACTCGTCCTGGAGCGACGCCCCCTGGGGATGCGCCCCGAGGAGCGAATGCTCGGGGACGGACCCGCCCACTATGTCGTTGAGGGCGGATCCCCAGTACTGGCGGTGACGGTGATAGTGGTGGTGGTGCTGGCGGTCGGGCCGGCGGATGACCTGGGCGTCGTGGTAACCCTCGGGGTCATGCGGGAGGCTGGCAGACCTGCTGAAGACCTCATGAGGCGCCTCCTCGCAAGCCTGGTCCACGTACGGAACGCTCGCCGCCCGCGCTGGTTCGGGCGTGGGCACGGGAGCGGGATCGTCGAAGGTAAATACGAGAGGTTGAGAGAAATTGATGCTCTGGGCACGGCAAGCGGCGCAGTTGGGCATGGGGCATATGGCGCTCGGAGAGGCTAGGATGGACTCCTGGCTAGCCTGGGATGCGTCTCGAGGCGCCGGCGGAAACCTTTCCGTGATACGACGTCGAACCTCCGCCAATTCAGAGTCGACGCTCGCCGTCGAATCCGAGTCGCTGGGGCGCTCCGTCTCCCTCTTAGCTGTGGGAGTTGGAGTCGGATCAGATTCTGGTTCTGGCTCAGGTTCCGGCTTTGCGTCTTTTGTTATTTTGGCGGCCTCGGGCTCCTTCTTCTTCGTTTCTATAACTTCTACCTTTAACCTGAAGCTTTCACTGGAGCCGTTAAACTGGTTTACTTTGATCGTGCGAGTGACTTCCCTCGAGATGACGGGAGTGTCGTGGTCCAGGAACGCATGGTCGCCGTCCCCGTGATCCGGAGACTCCTGCGCGTCGACCACGCTGAGGATGGTGTCGAGCAACTCACTGTAAAAGTCTGTATCCCCGGCCGTGACGCCCATCTGCTCCGGAGTGGGCGTCGGGCCACCGTCGTCATCGAAGCTCGCGTGAAGACTGCATTTCTCCGGCATCTCGACCTCGCTATTTCTCGCGACGTCCTCCGCAATCGAATTCGTTTCCGAGGACGTGTAGACCTTCATTTCCTCAGGCCCTTGGCTCGAGATCAAACTCGTCCTGCTGGGAATCGTCACCTGACTTTTGGTCAGTTCCGAATCCATCCCGGAGGTCATGCTGTCGGTGTTGGTGTCGTCCTTTGGACAATACTTTACTGTTAGGTCCTCGACCCTTATGTCGCCTCCTTCCCCGCATTCTCCTCGTCCTTTCAATTCTCCTATCCCTCTTATTTCTTCTCCTCCTCCTCTGCCTTCTCGTCGCCCACCTCCTTCTCCTTCATCCACTCCTGGTCCTCCTCTTCCCTTTCCTCCTTCTCCTCCTCTACCTTCACCTTCTCCTCCTCCTCCTCTTTCTCCATCTCCCTTCTTCCCTCCTACTCCTGCGAGTTCTCCTCTCCCTCCTCCATCATGCACAAGTTCAAGACGTGTCACTCCATGCCCCTCGGAGGTGCCACTTGCTCTGCCGCTTTCTGACGTGGAGGACTGATTTCTGTGTGACGATTTGCTCCTCATGCTGGATCGGAGGAAAATGCCAGAGATGCCCCTGGTGGGCGTCCCAGGCTGGGCCGTCGCCTCGCTCCCCTCACGCCCTCTGTACGTGTCGTCGTCCTCATCGCCGGACTCTTCGCCGATCGTGTGGACTCCCGACCTAACAGACAGATCTAACATCGAGCTCGTGTTGCTAGAAATGCAGGGTGCGCAACTCTGAAGAATTCTATCTATGCGGCTACTCTTACTAGTATTACTACTAGCACTAATGGAACTATGACACCGCCTATCCAAGTCGCGCATCTCAGGCCTCGACGCCTCCGAAGTGTCGAGGTCGTGAGAACTCTCAGACGTGTGAGACGCCTGCTCCTTGTCTGCGTCCCCCTTGCCGTGCTTGGAGCCCTTCCTGGGGTCTCCCCCGATGGAATAGGACCGCCTGCGCTCGCCGGGGAGCTCGCTGTCGAAGTAGTGGAGCTTCTGCAGTCTCACTCCCGTTATGTCCGATTTTTGTTTCTTCAGGATACCGACGCGGACGCCCTTCTGCCGCATGTAGTTGGATTTTTGCTTCTCGACACGACTCTCCGACTCGGGCTGCTTCCTCCTGAGCGAGGCTTTCTCGTAAGTCGGGCGACGCACTGATAACGCGTCGGAGGAGGGCTTCGGGGGCTTCCCTGTCACCACAGGCGTCATGGGAGGCTCTATGGTCTCGATGACCCTGGCCTCGGATCTAAGTTCTGTGATTTTGGGTTCGACGGTGTTGGACTCCATGATTCTCGGACTGAGAATGCTTGATTCGGCGGTTTTCAGATCTATGAATTTGGGCTCCGAATCCCTTTGCTCGTTAGCAACGCACTCCTCGTAGGTATTTTCTTTGGACACGCACACATCTTGCAACGGCAGGAATTCCCCCATGTTACCTACATCCCCAAAAGAAGTTTCAAGCAAGACCCCCGGAGGAGGAAGGTTCTCGTAAATGTGGACAACTTTCGCTACAAGTTTTCTGGAATGATCTATGGGTGTGGAGGTATGTTCTAGTTCATGGTCCATAAACTGTGTCGGAACCTCTGCTGTTCCGCTCCTGCAGAACAAAACGTCTGGGACGTTCTCGTAAATGTGACTGTCAATTGGTGCACTACTGATTACAGACATGTTCGTACCTTTAGAGTTATCCTGTGGTGTCGGGAATTCCTCCGGAAGGTCTTCTATTGGCTGAATAACCTCTGTCTCAATCGGTTCCAAAACTTCGTTTTTGATATTTTCCTCAGAAGACAATGATGGTATGGCTTCCTCGACAGGTGATTCCTCTACAGGAAGGTTGTCATCATTTGAAAGTTTGAGGTCACTCAGTACTTCTGCTTGATCCTCATTCTTTTCTTCTTCTCTTCCTTCTTCCTTCGTTGTTTCAATGTTATCTTGTGGCTCGGCTTCGCCCTCGTCCTCGTGTTCGTCGTTCTTGGAGGGGGACATGAGCTCGAGGACGTTCTCCCTCGAGTCCTTCTTCTTGAGGACGCCCACAATGCGGCAGGCCGAGCTGCTCTTCGGGAGCGGCGCGCTGTCGATGGGGTTGGTGATCTCAACGCAGCTGAGACTGGAGAGCCGGATGTTCTCCACACTCCGGCTCTTCATCCTCACCTTCCCCGACACTCCGCGCGTGAAGATGTGGCTCACGGCGGACTTGTGTTCGGCGCTCGACGTCGCCGCGGCCGCCAGCTGGTCGGTGAGAAATTCGCTCTCGGTCCGGCTTCTCCTGATCGAAGGCGGGCGAGATCTTTCCGTCCCGCTGGCTTCATCGGCGGCGACAAAACTCCCTTCGGATATCGTCTTGGTCAACCGCCTGTGACCTGACATTAGCCTGCGCGCGGTGGTCGTGCGGTTAGGCACTCTTTGGTCTTCCATTTCCTCCTCTCGTGGCGGGGCAGTGACCTCTTTCGGCTCATCCCTGATGACTCTCGCGGGAGGAGGAAGGATATTTGCATACATGTGCTCAGGTACTTGCTCATCTGATCCTCTGGTTTCCGTGTTGTGAGGCACCTCGACGTCCTCACCACCTGAAGTTTCCGTCTTCGTCACAACAGCTTCCACGACGTCCTCTCTCCCGTCCTCCTCAGAGACTGCAACCTCATCATGTCGCTCGTCCTCGGCCGTCAGTGTTTCATTCTGGTCCAGCTCTTCCGCGCTCTGCTCTTCGGCGTCCTGTCCCTCAGCGTCCTCTTTGGTTTCTTCCTTTGGCTGCGAGGCTTCCATTTGTTTGTCACCCACAGAGGCTTCGTTCGACACATCTTCCTGCAAGTCCCGTGCACCTCTAAACACTACTCTTTCTTCCCTCACTAAACCTTTGCCCTTAACGAAGTTAAACTCAACTGTACGGGTTTCCTTACTCTGCACTGTCCTCCTGAGCAGTGGACTCCTCACGGTCCCCTCAGCCTGCGCGTCTTTTCTTTCGCTTTTCTCTTCGGCCGAGGGTTCAAGAGGGGTTCTTTGGGATGCGAGGTTCATCGAAGAATCGCCGCGACGAGAAAACCTTCTGACCCCCGCCGGGCTCTCCTTCGACCCCACGCTCACGTCCTCCCCCTCCCCCTCCCCCACGGCCGCGTTCGTCGCCGCTGCGTCTCTGTTCGACGCTAATCCCGGGGATGCCCTCGGGTGGCCGTCGGCGTCTGGCTTTCGGGGAGCCGCGTCGACCTTGGTTCCTGCGTCATCTTGCGGCGTCTCGTCCTTCCCCTTGGGTGAGGTGGGGGAAATGTCGCCCCGCATCCCCTGCTGTGCCTTGTGCGTCTCCTCGATTTTGCTTTTCGCTTCCTCCTCCTTCTGCATGATGATTTCTTTCACTATCCCCTTCTTCACCTTCGCCGGCCCTTCCTCGTACCTCCTTTCTTCCCTCACGCTTTCGTTCACGAGCACGTTGTCAGTCCTGCTAATCAGTGTCTCCTCACATATCTTCACTCTCGTCTCCACGTCGACCTTCTCATCTTCAAGGATACCTCTTTCCTCCTCTTCAAAAGCTGCCGTCTCCAGCGATGTCGTACTCAAAGCCTTGGTCAATATTTCACCGCTCTTCTCATCGCTTCCACCTTCTTCGTTAGTATCATCTTCATTCATACTCTCCTCTCGCTTCCCTGTGTCTCCTCTATTCGTAACGTCTTTATCTAATTCCCCTCCGGCCGTTGCCTCCTCTTCCTCCACCTCCTCCTCCTTGTTCTCCCCTCCGGCGATGGTATCTTTACCTTGGCCCGGGCTCAAGTTACCATCATCAGGTATTGTGTTCACAGATCCGGTGTGATCGGTAATGCTCGCGTGATTGCAAGTCTCGTCGCGAGAGGGCAGGGCGGTCGCCGCGTCGTCACTCTTATCGTCTGCAACGGTGTCATACAAGTGACTGTTTCTCTCCTTTGCCTCTTCCTCGACGGGGAGACTTTTCCTCTCAGTCTCCTCCTTCTCTATGACTTTTGGCTGACTCTTCAGTTTTTCCCGTCCTTCCCGCTTTCCCTCGGTGCCCGGTCTGCTGCGTCTCCTTCCAGAATCTTCCTCTGTGCCTTCCTCCTCGCTTAATTCCTTGGCCGCCTTCGCCAGGAAGGGAAAGGCGTCGCGTGTGACGTCCCTCGTGAAGCTGACGTCGTGCGTTGCCTCAGGTGTGGCGTCGTCCTCAGACCCTTCCTTCGCGTCCTCTGAGGACTTGTCGCCCTCCGTGCTTGCCGACTTGCTTCGGAAGCTGGATCCCGACGCCCTCCGGAGGTCGCTCTTGGAACCTGCCCGGAAGTGCTCATGCAGCACCTTCTCGTTCCTGAGGATCTCTCGAGGCTTCTGCTGCTGAGACTCGAAAAACTGGATGATTTCCGAGTCAAGTTTTCCGCTCATCTTGGAGGTGATGAGGATGTAGCGCTGCTGACGCTGCTCCTGCATCGCCCGGCTCTCCACGAAGGACTCCAGGCGCTGGCGGCAGTCGGACATCTCCCTCCGCAAAGCTTTCAAGGGCTTTGGGGTCCCTGTCGTCGGAAGATCATTTCCTTCCTTAGATTTCCCCTCGTCCATTTCGTTGTTATTTGCCTTATCATTCTCCTTTTCTTTGTCCTTCGTCTTTTCATTCCTATTTTCTTTATCTTTCTCTGCATCTTCACTATCCCGGTCTTTATTTTCGTTTTCCTTGTCTTTCTCATCTTTCCCTTTCGTCTTGTTCCCCTTCTCATTTTCGTTTTCCTTCTTTTCCCCAGCTTCACCTGTGGCAATGCTCCCGAGTGTCTCCTCACCCGGGGACGTGGCGCCGTCCTCTGCATCGTTGAGGTTGTCCTTTGCACAGAAGAGAATTTCCTTCCCTTCTTTCATGGTTTCCCTCACGGCTCGCCCTGGGTGTTTTACCTTTCTCCCTGGCACATCCGAATTATTCTCCTCTCCCATCTTTTCCTCCTCTTCCTCTTCAAGTGGTTTTTCTTCTCTCTCCTGTGTTTTCCCGTCTTCTCCCTTAGATTCCCTTTCCCTAGGTCTCGGGAAAATCTTTTGTCTTCCATCTTCTGGGGTTTCTTCACCTCCTTTGCATGGTGAACTCTCTCCATCTTTCTTTAATATGACCTCCTCTTCGGCTGCTTTCTCTCCTCCCCTCTCCTCGTCTGACACTTTTTCCTCTCTTTTGCCGGGGTCTCTTTTCTCCACGGGTGAAGTTGACGGGGGACTACCGTCTTTTGCCGTCTTTGCGTTTTCCTTGTTCGCTCTTATTTTCTGGAGGAAGTCTGGCGCTCTGCCGTTCCTCATTTTATCCACGCTTAGGCTTCTTTGGCGATCGAAGGTTGAGGTGGATCTGGGTGACCTCTGGCACCCGTAGGTCACGATAGGTTTCACGATCCTCGGGGAGGCGGGGATGGGGGACGTCCGGGAAGTCACGAATTTCGTGGGTGAGGATCTTAGGCCGATCCTCGGAGACACTCGCGGCGACATCCTCCTCGGAGAGGCCGAGCGCGAGGAGCCTATCCTTGGCGAGTCAGGTCTGGGCGACCCCACTCTGGACGAAGACCCCAGCCTGGGCGAGACGGCCCCGGGGGGACTCTGGTACCGCGACCCTATGGGGGACTGTCTCGGGGATGTGCGGCTACTCGAGGAGTCTCGCCTGTGGCTGCTAAACATGCGGCCTTTGTGGAGTTGGGGCGAGCGACACATCCTCTCGATCCTGGGGGAAGGCATGACCTTACTCTCGTCCTTGTTCCCCGCCCCCCGCGAGTCCCCCTTGTGGTTTTCGTTCGCCCACGCAAGGTACTTCCCCCTGGGTCCGCCTCCACCGCTTCTCTTGGTCTCCGTTTTGCTAACTTTGACGCAGCTGTGTTTGGTGAAGTGCCGCCGCCCTTCCTGAGTGGCGGCGCTCTCCTCCCCGGGGGCATGGCTGTCTGTCGACGCCTCCGACTGGCTCCCGTCGCCTTCAATGCTCTTCCTCCGCCTTCCCTTCCTCGCCGTTGGCTGCCACGCGACTCCGTTCCGGCCGTTGCTTCGAGCTCTGCCGGACCATTTAGGCGCGCCCTTTGCTTCCTCCTGCGCGTCGCCCTTCGCTGCCTCTCGCTCCTGCCGGGGATCGCTGTCCTTATCGCTTCCGTTCCGAGGAAACCTTGAGCTGTCGAAAATCACCGTTCGATCCTTCTGGGAGACGTCGAGACGGCCGAGGTTCTGCTGCCGCTTCTTCACCTGCGCCGTCGTCATGCTGAATTTCCGCGACACGACCAGCTCCTGCACGACCTTGGCTAGCTGGGGCGTCGCCCATGGTCCCTCCAAGCTATCCTGATCGACGTCATCCTCGGAGGAACTACGGCCGACGGGTCTATCCTGTTCTCTCGGGCGCGCTCGCGACTCGCTCCTCCTTCCTTCTCCTCTTCCCTTCACCTCCGCGCAATTTCGCTCACTTTCTGTCTTACTTTCGCCGTTTTCTTTATTTTCGTTCACTGCATTTTCTAGAGTTTCACGAGACGGTGTCCTAGAGTCATGTGAAGCCGAGCTGCTTCTAGAATAAATACGTGTTCTTTTGTTGTTGTTTGTGACGTCATCAACTGGTTCCGTGACGTCACCGGAAGTCACCGCTAAATGTTCAACGACGTCAGCGCCTCTGGAAGACGTGCAGATGTCCTGTGGTTCGTCAACACAAATGATTCTAGACTGGATTTTCGTTTCCTCTACATCGTCACTGGAACACGCTCGCGGATCACTTTCACTTTCACCGTTTCTCTCATTTTCCACACAGACATTTTTCACAGATCCCGAAGCCGCACCGTCACGCACTCTCTCTCGTATTGCACTGTCAAACCTCCCGCGCTCTCTGTCAACCGACGCGCTGCAGGACGGCCCGCACGCCACCCTATCCCGACCAGTCACCGCGGACAACTGATGCGTTCTTACACCACCACCGCCGCCACCACCACCACCTCCTCCTCCTCCCCTCTCCTCCTCCCTCACCACCTCCCCCCTCCTCTCCTCCTCCTCCACCGCGGCCACGGAGCTTTTAGGATCACCTGGCTCAGGTTCCACGTTCCCCCTGGTCACGGATGAAGATGTGACGATAGAACGACCACCAGCACCTTGCTCCTCGAGGAGAGCTTCTGACGAGGACGACGACGTCGGCGGAGGAGGGGATTTTGCGTCGTTCTGGAAGGTCACCGAGAGCTTTCTCACGCGCTCCGTCGTCCTGGGGGAGTCTCCTTCGCCCTCCGTTGTCCTGGGGGAGTCTCCCTCGCCCTCCGACGTGCTCCCGCGAGCGGAGTCGTCGTCCTGCGCCTTCAGAAGCTTCGAGCCCTTCATGCACGAGAGAAGCGTCTCGGAACTGCCTTCCCTCGATCCTGAGGTGTCCCTAGGCACCGCGGACGACCTTGTGAACCTACTTGTACTGTCAGAAAACTTGGAATACTTACGGGTCGTTCTGTCGTGGTAGAAGGGGTCGTACGTGTCTCGAGAAGAGCTCACGGATATCCTGGTTTCGGAATCACCGCTGGCGGGTCGTACGAGGATCTCCTTCGTCGTCAGCGACGAGCTCCTGGACCCCGAGGACACCTCTAGGATTCTCGACGTGGTCTCCTCGATGGTGTGTGTGACGCGGGAAGCCCCATCCGCCTTCTCCTCCCAAGTCCTCCTGAAGGACCTGGGCTTGGGTTGGGGCCTCCTGTACTCGCTCCTGCTCTCCTGCACCTCCTTCATGATCTTCTTAGCGATGTCGGAGAACTGCAGCGATCTCGTGGAACGGCGAGAGACGTACTCTCGATCAGTGCCGTTCCTCTCGAAGGCGAAAGAGGCAGCGGCGGCGGCGGCGGCATTCCTCTCCCCTCTCCTCTTCTCCAGGAAGCTCCTTGCCCTCGCGTTGAGTCTGTCGTAGGTCCTTCTGGCGGGCCGGTTGTCGCCGTCCTTCTCGTGCGCCTCGCCCTCGCCCCTCGCCCGCGCCTCTTCCGCGCTGAAGTCTTCGTCGTTATCGGAATTTTCGCTCTGCGGTCGCTCGCCCCGTGTCTCATTCTCCTCCGTCTCCCGCCGCGCCTCTCCGCCGTCTGGGTCTGCGCTCCTCTCTTTCCCCGAGTCGGCCTGGCTCTCCTCGCCTGCCGGAGGAGTCTCCGTCCTCCCCGCACGCGACTCTTGACCGCATCTCTCGTTTTTTCCACACTTCGTTGCCTCCTCCTCGCCACAGCTATTTTCACTCGTCGCTACTTCCATCCTCCTGTCGTATTCTCGGCTCCCTCCTCTCTCGGCCTGTTCCGTTGAGACCAGCCACTGACTGCGCCCTTTATCAAGCTTTCCTCGGCCTCTCCCCTTCTTCGAATCGGCTCTTCTACAGGTCACTTTCTTACATGTGTTCTTGTCTTTGTCTTCGTCCGTGCTTTTAGTGGCAGATTCCTTGACCGTGTCAGTTTCTACCTCTTTCCCTTCATTTGTTTCTTCAGTTTCATTATTCTTTGCATTTTCCTCATCTCCATCTTCATTTCCGGCATCCGTCGCAGTTTTTTCTTCTGCGCCCCCTTCCTTTTCAAGTACCTTCCCTCCATTTTTATCCTCTACTTCCATATCTTCACCTCTTCCCCTCCGCCTCCTCCGATTCTTTCCGACCCCATCGTTATCAGTTTTCTCACGCTTCCCATTCGCCGTGGATTCCGTCTCCTCCTGGGTCGTCCCACTCGCCTCGACTTTGCATTCTTCTAGACTCCTGATCTTGCCTCGGACGTCCGCCTGCCGGCACTCCTTCCTGGCTTCGTCCTTCTTGCGCCGCCTGGACGCCGTTAGGATCGCGACGTTCACGCTCGTCTTCGCGTCCTTCGGGTTTTCCATCGGGTCTTCGCCTTCACTGGTCTCCCAGGTCCCTTCTCCTTCGGCCTCTGTCTCTTCTTGGCCCTCACCCTTCTCGCTGTCCAGGGATGGGTCCTTCTTGCTAGACAAAGATGGGGCCTTCTCACTGTCCAGGGATGGGCCCTTTTCACTAGCGATGGACAGGTCCTTTTCACTGGCTAGAGATGGGTCCTTGCATGTCTTTTCGCTGCATTCACGGTCACCGTCACTGTCACTGTGATCGTGTTGAGGTACTTCACCGTTCGGTTTTCTCTCTATGTTTTTGTCACCGCTTTTATCACTGGCTTTGCTTTCTTCGAGTTTGGTTTCGTGGTTTCCAGCGGAGGACTCTGGGCTCTCGCTGCCGTCGCGTCCCTCCTCGTCGGCGCTGTTTTCTTCGCTCCCGCTGCTGGTGGAGCTGGAGGTGGAGTCGGTGGAGCCCGAGGTGGAGGAGGAGGAGAGGTTGGTTGAACCAGAGGAAGGGTTGGTGGTGAAGGAACTAGAAATGGGCGCGGAAGCCGTGTGTGTGGATATAGTATAGGTAGCTGCTGTGGGGACAGACGAGGAGGAGGAGCTGGAGGCAGAGGCGGTGGAGGACGAGGTGGAGGCGGGCGTCGAGGCTCCACTGCCCTTTTTGCCGCCGTCGCTGTTCTCACTCACGGTGTTGTTTTCGATCTCCGTGTCGACGCCCTCCGAGTCCTCGAAGTCACTCGAGTCCGAGGGAGAGCTTGAGACGCCGTCGCCGTCGATGTCCCCTTCCTCGTCCTCGTCCTCATCCACCTCCTCGTCCGCAACTGCTTTCGCACGAGCCCCAGCCTCCTCCTCCTCGCCCTCGTCTCTTTCGTTTCCATCTTCGGAGTCTTCGAACTCCTCTTCGTCCTCCTCACTGTCAGAGGCTCGCTTCCCCCCTGCCCCCCTGCGCGCCGACATGACAGGGTAGCGCCGAGCCCCGCCGCGGCAGGGGGAGGGCGGCGTGTCTTGCGAGTCTTCAGAGTCCTGCGAGTTCGAGTCCCCCCGGTCTACACTTTCCTGAGAGCGGGACTTCCCCGGGATGAGGTTCTCCACGTAGTTCCAGAGTCCTTTCCACTCCATGGCGTTGACGCAAAGCAGATCTCGGGCGCACGCCGTGGCCCCGCGCTCACCATGTCTCCCGCAGAAGCTCTCCTCTGGCGCCGGGGCCTCGCTGGCCTCATGACAGAGCTCTCGCCTCGAGAACAAGTTCGCGGCGGCCCGGCAGCTGAGAAGAACGAACGCGCTCGTTCACCGAAACCGAATGTATGGCGGGCAGTCCTCCATAGCCCTTAAAGGTCGTGTACTGCCGTCCCTCCGGCCTGACAAACGCGCAACTGAAACAGCGTAGCGCCTCCGACCCCCGCCGCACGTAATGCCCATATCGTGTTCTCGCCGGAGTGTCGCGGCTGGGCTGCCACGCACAAAGGCCGACCAACGGCCCGTGCGACGACCTGGCACCTGACACGCCACGTCGTACAGTTGACTTCAGAGCAACGACGCACTGAACTGCCTCGCCCCACACGCCGCGTACGGGCTCGAGGTCCCCGGGTCTCCGTGTGATTCAAGGGCTTCAGCAGTTGAACGAATTTCATATCGCTCGTTTCTACACAGATCGTACATTCTCGCAGTTTTAAATTTCTAAAAAGCTACGCGTCCTAAAATGCAGACTAAAGCTAACTCATCTAAAAGCACGCTCGCACAAGCTTATCTGTTGAAACGCCAAGCGCCCCAACACAGCAGTGAAAAGAAAGCAATCCTTCATATTCACACCTAGCGAAAAAAAAAAAAAAAGGAAATAGAAGAAAAAGAAGAAGGACAAGAAGAAAAAGAATGAAAGAAAACACCTCTACAACAAAATCATCCGCGACCCATACCATCCTCAGGAAATCTACACAAGTAGGCCACCTTCACCAACCCTTCCGGAGGCGGCCCGAGCAAGCGCCCAGACATTACTGCATGGCCGTCCCCTTCGCTCTTCCTCGACCCTCGCCTTCCGACTTCGTTTACAAACAAAAACAACAAAAAAACAATAAAAACAACAACAATAATAACGATAATGATAATAATGTTTATAATAATAATAATAAATACAAAATAAAAGGAAAATAAAGATGAAGAAAGGAGTTGGTGCTTTCGCCGGGATCTTGCGCAGCTAACTAAGGCTTGATTCTTTATCCCTTAACACTGTGACGTCGACGCTAAACGCTGAGGTGGAGACGATGACGTAATCGTGGGAGGGGGGAGGGGTTCAGGGGGGACTTGGAGGGGGGGAGTTAGAGGATGAGGAAGGGGGGGGCGAGTTGTGTGGGGTAGGGAGAAAGAGAAAGAAGCGAGAAAACAGGTAGAAATGGGAAGAGAGTGAGGGAGGGAGAAAAGAGGAGAGAGAGAGAGAGAGAGAGAGAGAGAGAGAGAGAGAGAGGAGAGAGAGAGAGAGAGAGAGAAGAGAGAGAGAGAAGGAGAAACAGAGAGAGAGGTGAAAAAAAAAACAACTGGACAATTAACGAGAGACAGAGACGAGGAAAGGACAAAACCCAGAAAGGAGTGCACAGGACAGGGATGAAAGGCAGGGAGCTTAAAAGATAAACAAGAGACAAAGAAGACAAAAGGGGTAAGAGGGGCAGACGCCGATAAAATCAAAATTATGACAAAGAGGTAAAGGAAGAGACACAGAATAACAAAAGAAAAATGTGGGAGTGTTATAATGGCGGTCGTGATGGTAACGATTATACCATAATAGCAATACTATCGGTACTGCTACAGCTACTACTACTACTAACACCACCACTACCATTACTACTGCTACTGCTGGTGCCACTACTACTGCTATTGCAACTACTACTACTACTACCAATATTATTACTACTACTAATACTACTACTATTATCATTATTACTACTATTACTACTACCGCTACTGCTACTGTTACTACTAATACCACAATTACTACCATTACTACTACCAGTACTACTACTACTAGCCCTACCATTCCTACTACTATCATCATTACTACTAATACTTCTTTTACTATTACTACTACTACAACTGTTACTATTTCTACTACTACAACTACTACTATTACAACTATCACCACTATTAATCCTACTTGTGCTTCTATTACCACACCACCACCTAGATCGCCAGTGATAATAGTAATAATAATAATAATAATACAATAGTAACAATGGTAATAAAAGTAATAAAAATAGCCGTCATCATCATCACCATCACCACCATCGTCATCGTCATCAACACACCCATCATCATATTAAAAACACAAACAAAAATTTCTTTCAACCATTCCTCCGTTTCACACCTCATATTTTTAATCCCTTCTCCCCACCCTTTCCCTCCACCCCCTCCTCCCCCCACCCCTTCCTGTTAAAAATCCTGCCCTGCTCCATATACCTCCTCCTCCTCCCTCCCTTCCTTACCCCCCCTTCCCCCTTTCTAGCCCCTCCTCCCCAACTCCCCTTCCCCCTCACCCCCCTCCCTTCCTTCCCACCCTCCCTTACCCCCCTCTCCCCCACCCTCCTGAATCGAAGTGTGGCGCATCGGCGAGGGTGCAGAAGGAGAGGGAGAGGAGAGAGAGAGGAGAGAGAGAAGAGAGAGAAAGAGAAAAAGAAAAGAGAAAGAGAAAGAGAAAAGAAAGAAAAGAGAAAGGAAAGGGAAAGGAAAGGAAAGGGAAGGGAAAGGGAAAGAAAGGAAAGAAAGGAAAAAGGAAAGGGAAAGGGAACAGGAATGGGAAAGGGAAAGGAAAGGGAAAGAGAGAAAGAGAGAAAGAGAAAGAGATCCATATACCTCCTCCTCCCTCCCCCCCGCCCCTCTCTCTTTCTGAGAAAGAGAAAAAGAGAGAGAGAAAGAGAAGAGAGAAAGGAGAGAGAGAAGAAAGACCGACACCCTTGTTACTGAGCTCGTCTTTCAGCCTCTCAACCCTAACGTAAAGTTAGTTAGTGGCGTAGCCGCCTTCCTGTCCCTAGTTCGAGCGTGTGTGTTTTTTTTTTTTTTTTTTTTTTTTTTTTTTTTGGGGGGGGTAGGTAGAGTTGCGCCTGTCTCTAGGTCTCTTTATCACTTGATTGTTCTTTTTTATTCTTTTTTCTGTTTTTTTTTGTGTTTGTGTTTTCTTTCTCTCGGTGTCGGTATCTCTTTAGTATCTCTTTTGTCTTCTTCTTGTTTTCTTCTTTTTCTGTCTTTTCTCTACATTCATTCTCTCTATTCTTCTTTCTCTTTCTCTCTCTCTCTCTCTATCTATCTATCTCTCTCTCTCCCATCATTCCATTTCACTTTTCATATTTCCTATTTCTTCGCTACACCAACATAACATCACCCCATCATTATCACCATCACCACCACCATCACCATCACCACCACTCTCACCCCCTCCATCACCACACCACCACCTCCTCCCTCTTTCCTACATAACTACTTTTTTCCGCCCCCACACATTACTTCAATGAGCCTTTCACCACCACCCACCACCACCCTCACCACCCACCACCCTCACCACCACATCATCTCCTTTAAACCATAACCTTTTTTTTTCCGGCCCACACATTACTTCATGACCTTATCACACCACAGCCTCACCATCTCACACCACCACCACCACCACCAAACACCCTGCACCACCCTCACCACCATCACCACCAACCACCACATCTCCTTTATACATACTTTTTTTCTGCCACACATTACTTCATGAGCCTTAACTACAAATGCAGAAGGCACTAAATTTGCATATCCTCGAGGCGACGCCCGCGCGCAAGAAACTGAACAACAACATAAATGCGGACAGACGCCGTAAATAATAATGAAGGTGTAATAAGAGATAAAAGATAAAAAAGATAAATAAAAGATGAAAAAAATAATAAAGGATAAAGAAAAATAATAAAAGATTAGTAAAAGATAAATAAAAGATAATAAAAAATATAAAATAAAGGGTATAAAAGATAAAAAAAAGATAAGAAGAGATAATCCAAAAAGATAAGAAAAGATAAATAAAAAGATAATGTATAAGTAAATAAAAAGATAATAAAAGATTGAGATATAAAAGTCATGCATATATAGATCAATAAAAGATGCATAAAAGTTGATCAATAAAACGAATACAAAACATGATGGAAATCATAGACAACTACAACAAGAGTTCGTAATACAATCTATAACAACAAGTACAAATTAAGAGATAGAATGTAACCCTAGCATAAGCTAAAATGCAGATCCATTATAATAGAAGAAAGAAATAGGTTCAGAAGACGGATGACAAAGTAAATAGTAAGGAAGACCACAAACGAATCTTCACCAATAAAACAAGAAACACAAACAAATAAAATAATAATCCAAACACAGTGGTTCTAAGCGCGTACTCTATAAAGAGAAGTGTCTACTAATAAGATAAAGATCTACAACAGATCAATCCACACATGAAGGACGACAATATAGTACACGTAGAACAATGAACTACCACGAGACTCCTCAGCTAGCCATAGTGGATAAAAGAATAATAACAAGTAAACAGAAAAATCATCTGAGTCATCATTAACAAATTAAGGTGTAAGCAAGGCTATCTCTAACAGGCATCTCCCAGAACTCGAGAGTCAATGTGACACACCCACTCACCACTCGATAAACACATACCGCGCAACACATCTCAGAGAGTGAAGGGCGGCGGGATAAGGCGGAGCACAGGGGCGCACGGAGCGAGGGGTTTCCACAGCGGAGCTCTCAGAGTCGTCGAATAGATGGCACCTCTCGAGTCCTGCTTAGTTGTCTTTCTAGACATGGAAGGGAACTTGTTGAACTGGCAATCCCGCTTGTCATGTGCAGGAATAGCGCCTAGAGCGCACAAGTAGTCAAATTCAGACTCTTGCCTTGGATAGCTGAGTTATTTTAAAAATAGATCAGCAAGTGTCATGATTGTCAAGGCCAGCTAGGGCGTCTCAGCACAGTCGCTCTAGCCTGTTCGAGAGAGAAGCGCCGTCAGAGGGTGCTGTGCCTCTATACCTGCCCTTTTCAACGACGCCTCAGTCCAACAACTCAACATTTAACTGCCAGAGGCGAGGAACCGTTGCAAAAGATGGCAT